GGGGGGGGGGGGGGGGGGGGTACTGGAGTCTTGCTTTCCTACCTCGCCTGTGACGCGCGTTTCCAAACCCACTTACCCGCTCGACTTCCTCTTGGCCGAGCTCGTGGCCGCACTTCATGGTCGAGAGCGGACACGCTGGGATGAGTGCAGAATCTAGCAGCTGGCAGATCACGCGTGAGAGAGAGAGAGAGAGAGAGAGAGAGAGAGAAAAGAAACGTGGCGTTAAGCAGTAGGCCGAAATTCGATTGGCGCGCTTGGCAACGGTTGAACGAGTTCACGGGCAAACGTAAAAGTGTAGTGGCATGAGACACTCGCGAAAAACCCGTGAAGAGCAAACCAGGTTAGACAAAAAGGTCAAATGCATGCGTACTCTCCGTGACTAGGCATCGTGCAGCAACGCCGAATCTCCCCAAAACGATGCTATGCTATGAATAAGCAAACTACTGCTGCGTCCAACCGCTGTACGCAAAAACACTATTGGCGGAGGCGACGACAAGTCGACAGCCAGCAGCCGGACCTCTGCAGGATTCACTCGTTGAAGGACTAACGGCGGAGATGGCATGCAGGGAACGTGAAACATGGCGAACAACCACAGATCTAATTCATCTCCTGGGACACTCGGCATGAGGGCCTACTCTTTTGCGTGCCCTGCAGTCTGACAAAACCGGACTCCGCCTGCGAAGAGGTCGCCGTTGCCGGTGTGACCATGTCCATTCCAAAGCCAGCCAGTACACGGATCAAAAAGCACACCTGCACTCTGCAATGATGGTGGAGACAATCGACGCAGAAAGTGTGCTGTTCCTCGCAGTCCACCGTGAACACCTCCCCCGCCTGGATGTCCTCAAAGCAGACCGGGCACGGTGATTGGCTGGCCGCAGGCGCGGCGTCGGCAAACCTGACGATCGCGAGTGTGTCGCACGCGCGGCAGCAACACCCGAAAATCCGAGGAGGCGCCGTGAGCAGCGATAGGCATCCGTGCGCACGGCCGACGCTGATTCAAAAGCACACACACTTTTCAACCGGTAAGCCCCTTGAAGACGCTACAGTGGGGGAGTCCTTGCCTGACGGCCCGTGGTACACTACGCTGTGGTGTTGGATGCCGCCCCAAAGCGGACCTGGGAGAGCCTATCACGCAACAGCACGCGTTCCCTCTATCTTGGTGCACCTTGTCTACATGCCTACACACGTGCGAAGTCTTCGAGAAGCGCAGTCGCGCGAGATCCAGCCCTCATCCCTATCAAGAGTACTTCCTTCCGCGCAACTGCTGTCAAAGCGTTGGAAAAAATCAGCTACCTATCAATACTTACCCTTGCATCGCAGCTGCTCCTTGGCGCCCAGTCCCGCTCAGCCCTTCCTCCGCCTCAGCAAGTGACGACACCTGAGGTTCCAGCAGCAACGATATCGCGGCCTCTTTCCACGACTCCCCACGCCCGCACTCCTTGAGCGCCCGCACCACATGCTCGCGGTCGAAGCCCATCCCCACCAGCTCGAAAATCGCTTCCTCGTCTGCTGCTGCTGCCGCCGGCGAAGCCGAGCCGTAGCTGTCGGGCCTATCGCTCTCGTGGCCGAAAGACAGGGCCGCTGGCGGCACGACACTAGGCGTCGCCCGGGCAGCAGCAGCAGCACCGTCGTTTGTTGTCGCCGGAGGAGTGGTGCGGGCAACAGGAGGGTGGTGGTGAGCAGGAAAGGCGGCCGCGCTTGTCGGCGGCGGCGGCGGCGAAGCAGCTTCACGCTGCGAACCGAACGGCGCCGCGGACGCCGCCTCTAGTCTAGCAGGCTGATCACGCGCCGGAGGAGCTTGGAGGGACACGCCGGCAGAGTGGCTGCTTTCTGCCGTGGATATCGCGGGGAAGTCGCCGAATGTCAGCGTTGCTGCCGGTGCTGCTTCTGGGACCTCTTTACTGGTCACAAGGGCCCCCCTTCCTTCAGCTCTTGCCTGCAACGACGCCACATCACCGGCCACCCCGCCTTTTCCTGACTCGTTCGTCCAGCCTGCGCCTCGCTCGCCCCTCACAACGGGGGAAGCTGAAGGCTGCTTGCTCTTCTCTGTGGTGGTTGTTGAGTCAGCGGGCGTAGTCGCGAGCCGTTCTGTGCCGTCAGCCATTTTTTTTTCACTCGTCAGACTGCCAACAAGGCGTGGGCCTGCGGCTGCTACTGTTGTGCCGGAGGCGGTGATAATAACGACATTGCAACTGGAACAAGCCTGATGCAGATATACCTGAGTTGACACGACTGTTGATCTGGTTCCTGCTGCTGCTGCTGCCCCAGGCTGCCGGGCCGCCCAACCCACTATTGAGGCCGAAGAGTGCCGAGGATAACTATCTGCGGAACGATCCTTTACGACATCAACTCTCTAATTAAAAATCACACCTGTCTGTGGAACGGTCCCTTCACCCGGAGCCTGTGTCGCGTGCCTCTTGGACGGCAAACCACCTGCTACCATGCCCCCCTCACAGCTGTGAAGGTGATGTTGGCCATCGTTGTCGAGAGAGCCGGTGCGATCAAGTTGAACCGGAGAGTTTGGAAAAGTTTCCGAGTCCGAAGCCTCGCTCGCTTCTCGGACGCCAAAGGTTTCGTCCAGCATCTCAAACCCCTCATGGTCGCTCATTTCGTCCGCCATGCATAGATGGCGAGACACTAGAGAGAGATAACTTTGGATTATATTTCGTTTCGTGCGCGCGTGGAGCAGCGTGCAGCATGAGCGTGCCGCGTGGTGTGTGGCAGTTTAGCGCCTCGAGAACTCGAGAGCCGGTATTTGGTTCTTGGCTGGTTCTGGCCCGTGTTAATTGCGCCGCGTTTCTTCTTTCGCGCAGCAGGGGGCCGGGGTGCAACCGGGCGGCCAGTGGTCAGCCAACCCAGTTAGTCCGAGGCCAGAGGAGAAAATCGGGGGGAACTGAGGGGTAAGCGTCAAACTGCTGGTTGGGTGCTGTCGCAGCATCCGAAGGAACCTGAATTAGTGGGGAACGCGAAAGAAAGGAGACCCAACGAGGCTTGTTGGAGATTCCACACCGAAGTTTACAGCCGTTATTGTCTATTCTGCTACATGCAAGGGTGAGCCTGGGTGTGTGTGAATCGACGAACAGACGCCGATCTCATCCCACAACAGCACACACTACATGCAGGGACGGCATGGCCTGCAAGAAGGACGCGTTCCCCCTGCTTGGTGACGAAGTAGCGACTCAGCACCATGGGACTGAGCAGCAGGACAGGAAACCACCACCATCGCGCTTCGACATCGAGAGCAGCTCGTTTGGCGGTTCGGGGACCATCCGAGAGCGCCAACAGCAGCAGCAGGACCACACGCGAGACCGAGCGGTGTCTCGGCCATCAAGGGGTATCCAAGTAGCGACACCGGCGCCGTTCGAGCCCATAACCGATCCATTCGCGTTCGTGTGCGAAATCGCGCGGAGACCAAAATTTGGCCACCAGTACGTGCTCTGCCCCGAGCGAAGTCGGCGGCGCGGAGACCGCCACGTGGGTCTCAGCGTAGGCCCGCACTGGGCCGGTGTTATCTACACCATCAGCATGATCTTCGTCATCACCCTGTTTCTGGCCAGGGTCCTCATCGGACCCAACGTGGCGCCATGGTGTCAACCCGTTATCGTCGCCTGCTCCATGGTGACCGTGGTGTTCTTGCTGGCGACCGCGGTTGCCGACCCGGGGATAGTGGTCGAGTCTGCCGAATCAGAAGGTGCAAGCTGCGGGTATTGCGAAGAGTGCTCCATATGGAGGCCACAGGGGGCGGAGCACTGTGAAGAGTGGTGAGTGGAGGAGAGCAGGTAGCTTCCTACTTTCCTCGTTATAGTATGTGTGCAGGGCGTATGTATGGAGTTGCGCCGCATCCCGAGTATTGAGCAGTTTTCTCAAGGGCAGTTGGTGCAAACCTCCCACCACCAGCGGGCTCGCAATGTCGCCTTATCGCTGTGAAATGCCAGCCAATGTGGGTGGCACTATTTCATCTCTTGTAGCGGCAGGTTGGGAGTGAGTCTTGCCCCTTGTCCATGTCCTCCGTAGTAACCACAGCAGAGATAGACTACACGGTGAGACGCACAGGCTCAATATCTACGGAGCTCCTCTTGGAAAGCTCCTTGAGCGACACACAACGACGCACTCCCTGCGGTGACCAAGCACCGTTTTCTTCATGCAATACCACCGCCTTGCTGTTCTCTCCTCCCCCCCCCCCCC